TTATCTTGAAAATGCACTAGACAGGTTTTTAACTGTGAAAATCCAAGTGCTAATGGATTCACACACACCTCTGATCTGAGCCTTCCAGCCTGAACCATCAAGACAGCTCTCATTATGTACCAACGCTATTTTGTAACCCTCTCATGAGGCTCTTACTTGCAGGGCTAAGAATTCGTCCTTAATAGACTAAATTAATTGCTGGTCAGTAACTAGAAGCAATGCCCACAAAGTCAAGGGAGTTCTATATGCTTACGCTAGCTGAGAATTTGACTCAGTACTTTTTTTTTAAAATTCCAAATGACAATGGGAGAATAACAGTTAAATAAAGTACTGGTAGAAAAGTGGTCATTCCTTTAACTGGACATTTAAACAAGATCCATTTTTTTGTGACTCATACTCCGCACTCCCAGTATGTTGGAAATATAAAGAGAGGTAGGCAAAAGTAACCTTCTCTAGGATACACCTCCAGATCTACAGATTTCACTTACATTTCAGCTGTTCTCTCTCATACCAAAGGTCATCTGGCTAGTGTTGTTCCAGATGTTACAACACATGGATGGCCACCTGTTTTTGTAGGCACAGCTATTTCTCTCTTTATAGATCCCAAATCTTACAGGAGGATTGATATTGATATTTTGGACATGGTAACTATTGTGGACATGGTATCTATTCAAGAAACACGCCTTTTAAGCCCCTTAATTTTTAGTGCTGCAGAAATAAAACTGAAATGTTGTGCTCAGTATAAAGGAGAGTGCAGAGGGTCTCACCAGGTATTCCAGGAAGTCCAGGGTCTCCCGTGTCTCCTTTATCTCCTAAAATATAAACTCAGAATAAGATCCTTCTTTTGCCTGGAGGTGACCTACATAATTCAAGATTTCACTGCAGCAATCACTTGGGTGTAATGGTGTAGGGGGCTAGTTCAAGGCCTATGTGCCACCTACATTCTGCACAATCTGTTAAAGCTGGTGTTTTGTGGGACTTAAGTGATGCATTTACAGTGTTGCCAACACTCAGGATTTTATCATGAGTCCCATGATAACTATTGTTTTCCTTAAAGCCTGGGGTCCAGTGGATATGACATGATTTCAGCCTTCAGTCTGAAAGAAAAAGTAAGTTTCTAGCCCTTGAGGCTTTGAACAAATCTTCAAAATGTGACCCCAGTGCACCCTAAAGGCTCAAAAAGCAGAAGGCAATAAAAAGGACACCACAGCTATAATTTGTACATAATCTCATGATTCTAAAACAGTCTCCTGATTTTTGATGAAACTGACCCAAGATTTTCAAACATTTGGGGTTCGCAGGACTGCATTTATCTTGTCTTGTCTTCTGCATTGGCTGAATTTCACCCTTACACTATGTCTATACTGAAGTTGGGACCTATTTCCTGTGACTGCACTGGACCTTGTGACATATCAGACATTATAATTAGAGCTGGATGAAATTTTTCCAGCTAATATTTTATTCACCAAAAAATACAGTTCCGTCTCTCTAACAGTTCATGAATTGGGGTCAAATTTGTTAAATACATTCAGCTAAGTAGAAGAAAACCTTCCCACATACTCCAAAAGTTTTGTTTCAACATTTTTGAAATGTTCCAACACTTCATTTTGGAACACCGTTTTGTTTTGTCATTTGGCTATTAAACAAGAACAAAAAAGGGACATTCTTGTTCAACCGGAACCAATTTCATTTCAGCTTTTGTTTGGCATAAAGTGCCCTGCTCTGCAGAGAGAAGAATCATCTGAGGTCTCTCACCTTTCGCTCCAGGGGGGCCAACAAGACCTCTTTCTCCTGATTGAACAAAAAATAAGATAGTAAAGACAGATCAGAGATAGCGAGATCTTGAAACTGGATAAGAACTGAAGCTCTATTGAAATAATAAAAGCTTTATTGTCAAATATAGAGTGAAGGGAAGCTATGGAGGGGGGAGGGATAGCTCATTGGTTTGAGCATTGGCCTGCTAAACCCAGGGTTGTGTGTTCAATCCTTGAGGGGGCCATTTAGGGATCGGGGCAAAAATTGGGGATTGGTCCTGCTTTGAGCAGGGGGTTGGACTAGATGACCTCCTAAGGTCCCTTCCAACCCTGATATTCTATGGTGGTTTTTGGAGCCCAGATATTATAGGAATTGGTGTATTATAACTCGCTCTAATTTATAACTAGCTCTAATATTTGATTAAAAACTTATTTCCTGTTCTTAGGTCACCTAATAGAAAAACAAAGTTATCTTCGCTTTGTTACTTTACCTTTTCGGCCAGCTTTTCCTGCCTTTCCAGGGAACCCCGGAGGTCCTAGTTCTCCTGCAAACACAGAAAACTGACTGAATATTTTCCAAGGTATTGTAAATACTGAGTACATAATCCCCACCCACCTCTCCAACCTGGAATTACAATAACCCACTGGTGTTAAAATTCAAATAATATATCTGCATCTGGCTCCCTGGACTCCCTGATCTCTAAGGTCACACAGTGAACAAGTGAGAGAGATGGGGAAAACACCAGAAGACTTGGTTGCCAATCTGATACCTCAAAGGGAATGGACAATATTTCAGAGCTTGAAGCTCCAATCCCTTACCAGTGGACATGGGAGATTTGCTATGTGATTTGGGCAGAGTTTCCTCATATCAGGATCAAGGGGAATCTCCAAAGTCAGAGCATACTACAAAAGTAGTTCCCATTTATGTCAGCCCCATCCATGGCTGATTCTCATTCTCATATGGCAGGCGACCAGCTTGGCTTAACGGTGAAATCCTAGCAGATCTTAAACATAAAAAGAAGCTTACAAGAAGTGGAAGGTTGGACATATGACCAGGGAAGAGTATAAAAATATTGCTTGGGCATGTAGGAATGAAATCAGGAGGGCCAAATCGCACCTGGAGCTGTAGCTAGCAAGAGATGTCAAGAGTAACGAGAAGGGTTTCTTCAGGTATGTTGGCAACAAGAAGAAAGCCAAGGAAAGTGTGGGCCCCTTAATGAATGAGAGAGGCAACCTAGTGACAGAGGATGTGGAAAAAGCTAATGTACTCAATGCTTTTTTTGCCTCTGTCTTCACGAACAAGGTCAGCTCCCAGACTGCTGCGCTGGGCATCACAACATGGGGAATAGATGGCCAGCCCTCTGTGGAGAAAGAGGTGGTTAGGGATTATTTAGAAAAGCTGGACGTGCACAAGTCCATGGGGCCGGACGAGTTGCATCCGAGAGTGCTAAAAAATTGGCGGCTGCGATTGCAGAGCCATTGGCCATTATCTTTGAAAACTCGTGGCGAACGGGGGAAGTCCCGGATGACTGGAAAAAGGCTAATGTAGTGCCAATCTTTAAAAAAGGGAAGAAGGAGGATCCTGGGAACTACAGGCCAGTCAGCATCACCTCAGTCCCCAGAAAAATCATGGAGCAGGTCTTGAAAGAATCAATCCTGAAACATTTACATGAGAGGAAAGTGATCAGGAACAGTCAGCATGGATTCACCAAGGGAAGGTCATGCCTGACTAATCTAATTGCCTTCTATGATGAGATTACTGGTTCTGTGGATGAAGGGAAAGCAGTGGATGTATTGTTTCTTGACTTTAGCAAAGCTTTTGACACGGTCTCCCACAGTATTCATTAATAAAAAAAATAAAAGGGGAGTGGAAGGAGAAGGAGGTAGGGAGAAGAGAGGGAGAATTTGTCGAGCGGGAGCGGGAGGGGGGGCGGGCCGCATCTATTCGTGGGCGGCGGGGGCGGCAGGGGGGCCGGGGGCGGGCGCGGGGGTGGTTTTGTTTTTTTTTTTTTTATTTATATAGAGGGGGAGGGTGGATGTTGTTTTTTTTATATTTACTTATTTTTGTGAGAAGGGGGGGGGGAGAGAGAAGAAAGAGGAGAGGGAGAGAGAAGAGAGAGAAGAGAGAGAGAGAATAAGGGGAGGGGGGGGAAAGAGGGATGAGGAGGGTGTAAAAGGGGGGGAGGGAGGGGGGGAGGGGGAAAGAACCAAAAACAAAACAAAACAGAAAGGGCACCGACGGGCCGGGGCGCAGCCGGAGAAAAAAGGGAGAGGGGGGAGAGAGGAGAAGAAGGAGAGGAGGGGGCAGCCGGCCCCCGTTGGGGGAGGGGGGGCCAATGGTTTTTGGGAGGGAAAGGGGGGGGGAGAGGGAGGAGGGGGGGGGGGGGTCCCTCCCTTTTTTCCAAAGGGGGGGGGCCCATCTGGGGGATCTGGGGCCATTTTGGGCCCCCCACCAAAAAAAAGGGGGGGGAAAAATGGAGGGGGTCCAGCGAAGGGCAACAAAAAATATTGGGGGGGTGGAACCCACGACTTATCAGGAGAGGCTGAGGGAACTGGGATTGTTTAGTCTGCAGAAGAGAGGAATGGGGGGGGGGGGGGGGGTGGGGGGCTTTTTTGTTGGGGTGGGGCCCAGCCCTCCCCCCCAATCTAGATTCTAGATCTATGACCCTTTTTCCTGCATTTCCTTGGTCTCCTCTGGGCCCTGTGGCACCTGGAATTCCAGGGCAGCCTTGCACAATGGAGAGTTTATCGGTACTGTTGAGACCCACTACCCTCACCTCTGGGGAAAGAAATGAACCCATAATCAATGATTGTTAGCTTCTCAGGATCTGAAACATTCTGCAGAAATCCAGAGGGATAAACCCAGCAAATGAAAGCCTAGATAGTTCCTTGTTTTTTTTCTCTTTGTATCCACATTTTCTTATCTTTCAGAGACAATGCCCTAATATTAAAGTTGGGGGTTATTACTATTAGTCTTTGTTTTAAGTTATAGTGAAAACAAAAGTTAAAAAGATGTTATTAAATATTTGTATTTAAAAGAAATCACTTCAGACTTAATTTTGATGTACACATCCCTCTGCAGTGTTTGCAACCCGACCATTGCAGCATTGTGTCAGTTCATGAGAATCTTTTAACTACAGAGAAATAAAAGTGGAATGAAATGCAGAGGAAAAACAAATAGCTGCCATTCAGTGAAGAAACTGTGCAAAAGTAAATTAATTTAAAAAACAGTTGTTCTTACAAGCTCAGGTAATACATTTTAAAGAACTAAATATGTTTTTTAACCTAACAGTCCCCTCTCCATATTATACACATTGTGAGATTTAAAATTATTTATAGGGACATCAGTGGAGAAAAATAGGGACAAACCTGTCAACTCCATTGAGCTCCATAGATGTGGACAATTTTGAGGTAAACAAAATGTGGACATGGGTAATATTACCTGTGATATAGGAACTCTACCTCCTAATCTGGAACATTTGGGCATAAATTGTACATAGCAAATGATTTTCAAAATGATCATGAACGTAAGGAGATGAACCGTGAAGGCAGTACTGCTCTGAAATAATACATTAATTTATGCATAAGGTGGCAGAGCCTGTATTCAATCCTTGTTTAGCAAACCACCCATTTCCTTCAAAGAGACCATTTGCCTGAATGAGGTCTCCACAAATTTGACTAAATCTTGCATAGGATCACAGGATTTCATGATGAACTAAAATAAACCTTCAAATGCTGCTGGATTCTCAACCCAAAGCACAGAAATGAAAGTGTTGACATGGAAAGAGTTGTATAGTGGATTTGCAGTGATAGATACACAACAGTTGTGATTTTATAAATATTCATCTTAATTTGGTAAAGGTGAATTTTATAAAGCAGAGGGATCTGAAATCATAGGCTCACTCTGAGCTTTGAAGATTGAGATTTTATTTTCCAGAATTTAGCTCATCTGCCTGTGTGGGTCGGTCAGTCACCAGATTAGAAAGGCTTTGGCCCCAATATGCAAAGGAGATGGGAGCTTTAGACAGAGAGATTCCAGCAGCAACACAGGGAGGTTAGAAGATAGTAAATGAGCATGAGGGAGAAGAGGTCAAGTCAAATTTTGAAGAATCTCAATGAAGACAAGAGACAACATTTTCACAACATGGTTTGCAAAAACTGTCCTATTTACTGAACACCTCTAGTCTGTGTTGTGCACTTCTGCAGTATAGATTAATTTCAACAAAGGAATTTTGTACAAAGAAGCTGTTCATTTTATTATTTAAAAAGCACCATGAGCAGGCAAAGCACTTTATAGACGTGTAGGACAACAAACATTCCTGAACAGTTCCCAGTTCTCCAGGGTCCAGGTTGGCAAGAGCCACAGTATGAAACGCTGTTGGGAACAGGATTGTCTTTCACTCACCTGGGCAGGTGTCCTGAGCCTGACAAACCGTTGCTGCTAGACAGAGTAAAGAGAGGAGAGTTTTCTGAGCAGCTCTCCCCATGGCTGGTGCTGGTCTCTGCAATGGCAGCTCCACTTGTCTTCTCACCCCTTCTCCTCTCCTTTAGTATTTCAGTCCCTTTAAGCCTTTTATATGCAATAATGATAGAGCCTAGAGCAAATAAAGCTCTCTGCCTCCGGCATGTCAGCGCCTCCTTCCCACTCTCCACATTCCAGCAGTTTCCACTGAGATTTTTATGCTGCAGCGGTCACAACTGGAGCTGATTAAATGGCCTGATAGGAGACGTTCAATACTGGACTAGCAGCCGTTGCTTCCCCCGCACAGCAAATGCAGTATCGTGCAATGATGATTATTGAACAGAGCCAGTCTGAATCTTTCCTCACAAAGTTGATTCCTGTCAATGTGTCTTCTGAAATAGTAAAATAGGGTGCCAAATAATGAGCCCAAACTGACTTTCTCCATCCCTTCGAAGCCCCCTGTTGGCTTCAGTGGGAACCTTTGGGAGAACAAGGAGAGCAGGATTGGGTGGATTTACTCGCCAACTGCTCTATTACTATTATGTGTGTGACAGTAGCCACAGGAGGCCTCGTGTCAGATTGGACCCCCCTGTGCTGAGTGCTGTGCAAACCCCCAGTAGGAGCCAGTAATGGAGGGATCGGTTCCAAGACCAGAAGTGACCATCGTGATCATCTCGTCTGACCTCCTGTATAATGCAGGCCACAGAACTTCCCCAAAATAATTCCTAGGGCAGAGCTTTTAGAAAAACACCCAATCTTGATTTTAAAATGGTCAGTGATGGAGAATCTAGCACGACCCTTGGGAAATAGCTCCAGTGGTTAATCACACTCACTGTTAAATATTTACACTTTATTTCCAGTCTGAATGTGTCTAGCTTCAACTTCCAGCCATCTCTGCCCCAAAGACCTTACGATCTAAGCAGCCAAGACGAATGAGGGATGGGGGGAAATAATTATTATCCCCATTTTTGCAGTGTTATGTGTGCCTGTGTCATAGAACTAATAAATAATAATGATGCATGCCCAGGCCATATCTGCTGATATACCACTGCTGCATTTTTCTACATGTCCATGTGATTTTTCAGTGACTGCTGCACGGCAGACGCTCCAGATGGCAGATCACTGCTAAGGTTCATTTCTTTATGTGCACGTGTGTTTGCATGGTTCCAGTCTGTACAGCAAGAAGGCAGCTGCTGTTCTGGCTGTGTGCAACAGATATTTCCTCTCTTTGCACTGGGGAAGCGGGATGACACTTCCCACTCTGGTATTGTGGTTTGTAATTGGAATCAGAGATCCAAAGCTGCAAAAGAGACGATTGGACGATATGGATCTCACGTTGGATAAAGCCGTAAGACTGAGTCAGGCAGCAGAAATCATTCAACAGCATAAAAATATTAGAAGGAAAACAGAACAGACTGCCACACTGGATAGAGTGACATGAGAGACAAAAAACTGGCAAGCAGCCAGTCAGTACAAAACAAACAACAGAGATGCATGAAAAATGCAAAGCACAAGAGTTTGTAAAAACTTCAAAGATTGCTCAAGATGTGGACAAAAAATGACCTCAACGATGCCCAGCTTTTGGTAAGTGCTGCAATATTTGTAAGAAATACAATCATTGTGCCAACGTCTGCAACCAGGTTCAGCAACTGCAGAAGAGGAAGTGAAGCCTGTATGCTTATGCAAGTGATCCAGGCAGGGAGCACAGACAACAGCTCAGGAGTTCTATCTAGGAGCTGTATCTGAAGAGGAAGGAAGAACGAATGGACAATTTCCTTAGACACTAATGGGACTCTTATAACCTACAAATTGTGCACTGATGTCAGGTAAATGTTGTTTCAGGTATTAGTGTCAAAAGGTTGGAAAAAACTCAGGGAACATGGTGAGCAAACTGGTCAAACTGAAAGCTTATAATGGGGGAACTCCTTCCTACTACAGGTACATGTGTACTAGCAGTGATAGTAAAAGATCAAACAGAATTGTTGGATTTTGAGATCGTGAAAAGGAATAAAGCACGTACATTGGATTTAAAAACATACCCAGCCCTTGGGCTGATTCAAAGAGTGCACGTGGGTGAGGACTTAAGGGACACATTGTCCAGAACATTTGATAAAACTGTAATAGAAACAGGGGTGGAGTCAGACATAGTGCATGTCAGAGGGATCAAAAAAGAATTGTCCAGCCTCAGACAGGAAGTGGAAAGAATTTTCTCGGGCAACAGCTAATGATGGTACTTTACAGAGGGTATTAAGGCTATTAGTACAGGGTGGCCAGGACATTCCATACCATGTCCCTATTTACAGTTTAAAGCAGAACTGTCTGTTCTTCGAGTGATTGCTCATGTGTAGTCCACAATAGGTGCGTGTACTTGCCACA